GACACTATGAAGCCGAGGAAGCATCTTCATATCAGGATGAAAGATGACGAAAAAATGGTAATATGTTACAACTACAAAAAAAAATTTATTCATTGTAAGAAAAGAAAAGACATAGTATAGGCTGAAATTAATAATTTTATCTAGGAAGTTCCTAGCAAAGTGTAATTTTGACAAACTAGAAGCCTTTTTACCATAAGCATAGATATGTCAGACGGGTGTGCATAGTCTTCTACGAATACGTCTGTGTTGCTCCCAAACGCACACGCAAGTATACGTGGTCGACAAGTAATATAGGATTATAAGTCCAGATATCGTACCCACAGGGACTTGTAATTAACTATCAACTAAATTAAACCAAACAATTAATCTATTCAAGCGATTCCTAATGTATGAATATTTAACTAAAATTAATCTAGAGTAGTAAACTAAGAGACTAAAGAAAACAAGTTGGTGAATTATAGAGACGAATTCAATGTGAGTGAATATTCTAAAGCTATGGGTTGGCTAACAATCCCGTTGAGTTTTCCACCTAAATCGTCTAATTAATTTATCTGGTTTATTGATTGACGGGGTTAGTATTGCTCGTAGCCTTCTCCCGAAGTACAACTCGCATATTTAAGCTAACCTAACGCCTATATTCCTATGGAATTAGGATTAACAAGAACGCATTTATAATTCCCGTATAATAACCAACCAAGGCGATTAGGTATATTCCTATCCTAACCGCAAATCCGATCCCCCTAAGAGTTAAGATCTTGCTCTACTCAATCTTATATGCAATCTAGAATTCCCTCTCCCGAGTTCAATCCTAGATTCGTAGATAGTATTCAATTGGTGATCAAGCAATCAAATAATTAAGCGCAAGATTGAATAAATAAACCAATATGATAAAATAATAAGAACAATTCAAACTTCAAATTACAACGTTCATGTAGCACCCAAAACTCTAGAACTAGTAAACTATGAGATTAAAGGAAGAGAAGAGAAGAAAAACTAGTTAAAAGCCTCCTCCAAGCGTGGTGTGTGTTCCCCCACGTGAATTCCCCTCCAAAATATGTTAGATCTCTCTAAAGTGGCGTCCTCCCTTCAAAAATAGGTTTTCTCTTGCTTCTATACGTGTTGGGTAGGTTTAGGGCCGAAATAACCTTGTCCGGGGCGAAATTGGACAAAATTACATCACCGGCGCCCACCAGGGCGCTGTCCAATAATTCAACACTGTCTCCAGCGCCACAGGTGGCGCCAGGCGCTGCCTGTGGCGCCCAAATGGCATTTTTTCCGGTTTTGTTCGTTTTAGCTCAAATCTTGCGCGTTTCGCCCCCAATTGCTCCCGAATCATTCTTACAAGTAAAAATACTTCAAATTAATATAAATCATAGCATTTAACATCCCAAATTCACGAAACAAAAGTAAAATATGAGGCGACATATATAGAAATATATATACTTAAAGCTAAACATCAACACCCCACACTTAAACTCTTGCTCGTCCTCGAGCAATGGGACTATCAAATAAACCCCCAACTACGTACAAGTCTCAATTATAGAGGAGCACTTTAACTTTTAACCACACACTATACCCTTGACTATGATCAATACCAGCACACAAGCATGAACACACAAAATTTTACATTCTTCCCGTTTAAGCATGCCCAAGTATAACATTTCAAATAAATCAATTCCAACAACCTATTTGTCACCACCTAACCTCAAAACCGACTTGTAACCACTAAGCACCCTCAACTCATGCACTCACCCAACAAGAAAGCTTACAACATCACCAATCATTCATGAGATCATGTGCCCTCACCAACAAACAAAAGAGTGAATATAGACTAGTCCACACATTCAAATATGCTTTTGAATATGGATTAAGGATATCACACAATTGAACAAAATTCGCTCACTCTCACAAAGAATTCATATGCATCCTGTGGTCGTACCATAAGCTTGCCCGTAGTGTATATCTCTACTAATTTAAGCTAGCCAAGTCTAGGATCAATTAGGACTTTAAGGTTGTAATGTAGGCCAAGGGACGGGTATGATACATTTAGAAATAGTGACTAACCCTCCTAAGCACTTTAATACACTACATTCACAATTCAAGCACATATTCTTCTCAATCAATTCACTTGCCACAAACCATATGCACATAGCCCTTACGTTCATTCAAGCACTTCTATACTCCCACTAGCACAAATTATTAAGAATTGGAGGTGCTTTCTACATACTTTCACTATCATTTTTTCTCTTTTCTTTCAATTTTTCTTTTCCTTTCTCTTTTTTTTTTCCACACACTCCTTACATTAAGGTTCATTGGCTAGTGTCTTTTGATCTCAAGTTTAGTACACCAATGGGCCCTTCCATGTTTCTACTCAAAAGCTACTCCCCAATCTCTAACCTTACTTCTTTTAGCGACTAAGTGCCTTAGGAGGTAAAGGTTCAATCAATATCAAATTAAGAACAAAATAGGGGTATGGCTTGTAATGTGGGTGCCAAAGAAAAGGTCTATAGGCTCAAAGGGGCTAGCAACGAAAAATTTTATTTTTATGTTACAAGCACATCTATGATCAAGCAAGAAAATGCCTACGTCATCTCCTAGATTAGCACAACTTACAATTTCGCTTCAGTTAATACACGGGGCAAGTTCTAGACTACACAGGATAGCACAGAAAACCACAAATCCTCACACACACGTTGCACATGACTCAATCAAGACGGTTCTGCTCAACTCTCAAGTCAAGCAAGCACACATAATTGAGGAATTTAAGCAATATTGCACTATGTAGCATACAAGTCAAACAACTGAGAAAAAGCGTCACAAAATAGACTATTTACTTTACTTAGGCTTTACAATTCAGACCAAATACACGGGAAGACAGAATGTATGTCATAGCCTAATGTGCCAGCATCAACCATGTCAATGAGTATCTTAGAGCGACTCAGTTTCATCCTAAACTACTCCTAAAAAAAATAAAGTACCCGGTTCGAGCTACATCCTTGGAAAAGAACCGGTGCCCAAAGAAAAACCAAGGAATACTACCTAGCTATTCTAAAAAAAATAAAAGAAAAATCTTTTTGGTGTTTTTAATCGGACTTTATCCCTCAAGAAAATTGTCCAAAAGATCCATCGCCGGGAAAAATCCGAACTTTTTCTAAATTTTTTTTTTCAGTTTTCGTATTTTTTTTACCTAAACTATGTCTACTATTAATTCTAAACGAACAACTAAATAAAAAAAATAGTTTTATACAATTACACTTCAGAAAGTAGTTTCCCCACACCACACTTATATTATGCATTGTCCTCGATGCATGATCACAAAGAAAGATATTAAAACAAGGGTGAGAAATACTCCCTGAGGCCCTCTCGGGCCTAGCTCGGACATGATCTCAATATTAAGGGTCGGGACGACCCCACACTTAAGATCAAACATGCTCCTCGGCTTCAACTTCGGGTACTCAGACTTCCCCTACTCAGCAAAACAAAAACAACACGAAACTTGACACTATATAAAAAAATAAAAAAATAAAAAAATTAAAATACAGGCTGGGTTGCCTCCCAACAAGTGCCTTATTTATAGTCGTGGCACGACTCCATCACTTTTACCACTTTTCCTTCCACTTTGAGGATATGAATTGAGCCCCCAATTTTGCATCAATTTTTCTATCACGTTCATGAGGCGGTGGTGTAAAAATAAAGAACCCAAGTAGTAGGTATCGCATCTTGCACTTCTTGGCCTTTAAGTGAGGGATGTCGTTTTGCCTCCTTTGTATAGCAAATTTCAGAATATAAATACGTTGTTCCTCATCCATTGACTCCTCCATATGCTTGACTGGATCAATTCCCATGTCACCAACAAAACACAATGTTGAAAAGTGTTTAGAATGAGGTCCAATACGCCCTAACTCCAAAATTGCATTATTTTTGACATCCTCAATTTTGCACTCTTCGTCAACCTTGGCATCATTAATAATATTTTGGTCTAATAGTTGGAATTCCTCTTTCTGCTTCACAAGCTGGCCAGTATCCACAAAAATTGGTTGTAGGGCATCAGACGCCTCAACCTTTTTATTCAATTGATCATGCAGGTCATGGATATCTAACCCAAATTGGTCTATCTCTTGCCTGAGCTCGGTTCTTTCGTCTATCAGCTGTTCTGTCATATTTAAAAGACCATCACAGAGAAACTCATGAGATTTTATCAGTTGAGCAAATATAGCACTAATCTCTCAGATTGAGCCAAAGAAGATAGAGGAAGCTCTAAAAGACTCAAGTTGGATGCAAGCGATGCAGGAAGAGTTAGATCAATTTGACAAAAATCAAGTTTGGAAACTGATACCCAAACCTGAAAACGTTCCCATAATAGGAACAAAGTGGGTTTTCAGAAATAAGTTGAATGAGGATGGAAAAGTTGTAAGAAACAAAGCCAAATTAGTTGCTCAAGGGTATTCACAACAGGAAGGAGTCGACTATGACGAAACATTTGCACCAGTAGCTTGACTAGAGTCTATACGAATCCTTCTAGCATATGCATCTTTTAAGGGATTTAGGCTATTTCAGATGGATGTTAAAAGTGCCTTCTTGAATGGTTTCGTTGAAGAGGAAGTATACGTGAAACAACCTCCTGGTTTTGTAGATTCAAAGTTTCCCTATCATGTATATAAGCTAACCAAAGCGTTGTATGGACTGAAGTAAGCTCCACGATCATGGTATGAAAGACTCAGCTCATTTCTTAGTGATCATGGTTTTACAAGAGGTAAAGTAGATTTATTAAAAGATCATCAGAAGGTAATCTCATTATTCAGATCTATGTTGATGATATTATTTTTTGTAGTGCTAATCCTCTTATGTGCAAGGAATTTTCAAATCTTATGCAAAGTGAGTTCGAAATGAGCATGATGGGAGAGCTAACGTTCTTCCTTGGACTTCAAATCCAACAATCTGAAGAAGGAACGTTCATATGTCAGACCAAATATACAAAGGAGTTGATCCAAAAATTCGGCATGAGCAATGCTAAAGCTATTGGCAGACCAATGAGTCCTTCAACGAGCCTCGCCAAAGACGAACAGGGAACCCCTGTTGATGAAAACAAGTATCGTGAAATGATTGGCTCACTTCTCTATCTAACTGCTAGTCGACCGGATATTATGTTTAGTGTCTGTAAATATGCCAGGTTTCAGTCAGCTCCTAAAGAATCACATCTGACTGCAGTAAAAAGAATTATTCGATCTCATTGGGACTGTCTCTCATGGACTATGGTATCCTCGCTCTAACACGTTTCAATTAGAAGGTTTTTCAAATGCTGATCTTGCAGGTGATAAGGAAGACAGAAAAAAGCACAAGTGGAGCATGTCAATTACTTGGTAAAGCATTGATTTCCTGGAACAGTAAAAAACAAGCATCAGTTGCACTATCTACTACTAAAGCTGAATACATCGCTATTGGACAATGATGTGCACAATTATTATGGATGTCTCATCAACTTGGTAACTATGAACTATCGTTTAAACCTATACCTATTTTCTGTGATAATTCTAGTGCTATACGTCTCTCTAAAATTCTTGTGCATCATTCTAGAGCAAAGCATATAGACATCAAGCATCATTTTATTGGAGATCATGTTCTTAAGGGAAATATAGAAATATCTTTTGTTGGAACAACTGATCAATTAGTGGATATTTTTGCCAAGCCTTTATTAGAAGAAAGATTTTGTTCACTAAGAGAATTACTTGGCATTATTTTCATTAATAGTTAATATTAGGACCTATGCGCCATCATTTCATTTTATATGCCAAATGTTCTATATCTTTTCTTAATCATTAATTACGCTTCCGATTTCCCTCCTTTCTCCTCTCTTTTCACATCAGTCGTAGATTTCAAAGAAGGAAAGCCAATCATCACGTTTGATCAACTGACGCCTTTTCCTTTTCTGTACTCAACAGTCAGAAACCCTCTTTTTAATGCTGAACCTCCTTTTCAATCTCCATCGTCTCTATCGCTTAAAAAGCCTTCTCCGAAGCCTTGCCCAAACAAAAATTTCTTCAATGGCCAAACAGCCCAAGAATCCCCCTGCCTCCACTAGGAAGAGCACTCGCTCCAGAGCAAAACCCCCTTCTCAGCCCCCTAAACAGGTAGACCTAGGGTCCGATCATTCTGAGGGGTTTGCCTCTTCTCAGGCGGACTTCTCTGATCATTCTCAACCCTTAGGAGAAAAAGCCTTGGGAAAACGACCTATGGAAGAACCCCCTATTTCCCTCACTCCAAAGAAATCAAAAATAGATCTTTCTAGTTCCCTAGAGTCGGAACTCAATTTTTGGGATTCTCCAAATAGGGACTTTTTCATCGCCCTAAAAGACAAGCCTATTTCTCATGGGAGGGTAGTCGACCTTGATAACATGGAAGCCCTAAATTGTAAGGTAAAAGATCTCTTTGTTTATCAAGGGTGGTCAAAGTTCTTTTCTGTTCCTCCTCCTAAAGTCTATGAACCCCTAGTGAGAATGTTTTATGCTAATCTTCGCTCTAGTAAGTCTAATAAGTTGGTCCTTAGTGTTAGGAAAGTGTATTGTTCTTGATTGTGCCATGTTTCATTCAATTTTTCAGTGTAAGTGTTCTGGTTTCCCCATGCTTTTTAAAAATTCCTGGCCTGATGATTTTGAAATTTCCTTTGATCAAGCTAAAAGGTGTATTGCTGAGTGTCCATCTGAATCTCTCCCAAACCAGTTAGGCCCTAGTGATATAGTTTCGAAACTCGTGTTCTGGCCCACATTGTTGCAACCACTCTGCTTCCTCGTACTAGCTCTTTCTCCACCTTCTCTCTAAGAGACACCTTTCTGGTCTATTTCCTTGTGACCAAACTCAAAATCAAGCTGTCCTACTGGGTCATCAATTTTATGATTGAGAGTGCAGACGATCCCACTAGTTTACCCTATGGTATGGCTATCACTCACATTCCGGAAGCTCACAATATTTCCATATCTGCATATCCTTTTACCTCTGTTTCAAAATGTTACAACTCCCGAGCTTTTGCAAGTATGGGGTATGTGTGTGTGAAGGGCTCATGAGTCTAGAAACAATAAGGAGACGTCAAGAATGCTCAAACAGACTCCAAACCCAAACCTTCTGCTTCCCATCCTAGCCATAGTGATCCTGACCTTGCTGAAAAACTTAGTGCCATTGACAATCAGCTCTCTGCAATCAAAGATCTTCTTATTTCCACTCAGTCCACTGTTGGTACAATTCATGCAATCTCTAAAGAAACAGGGTCTGATGTATCCAAGATAAGAGTTGCGGTCCTCAGAGTAAGGGAAAACGCTATCAAGGAATTCAAGGAGGTTCATGACAGGCTTGATGGAATGAGTGTCTCAGCCAATGTCAGTTTTGATCGACTGAAGGAGGCGATATGTAATACTCTTATCTGCGTCGTTAATGTGGAAGTTTAAGACTGCTGTGCTGTTTTTGGACTGAAAAGTCAGTCGGTGGATAATTTTTTTTCTTGTTTTGCTATAACTCTTCTAGTATATCCTGTTATAAATCCTATCTCCGCATGCCGTGTTTTTTTATATATTATGAATCCTGCTATTTCGCATGCCCTCTTGGCTGATTTCAAAAAGGGGGAGAAAGGATATATGTATTGTACAGGTACGTACAGGAGAAAGTCAGCTTGGTACTTTTTGAGGGGGAGTCATAGAACCTGCAGAAGTCGACTACATGCGCCTTAACAACTAGCACCTGACAAAGTTAACTGCTCTTATTTAGGGGAGTAAAATACAGGGAAGTCAACTGTTGTTTATACATATATATTATTTTGTTATCATCAAAAAGGGGAGATTGTTAGATCTGATTTTAATGATGAAAATAATATATTTATTCCTTGTATCGGAACTCATGGATAGCACTCAAGATTGAAGAAATCGATCAGCAAAGATCAAGGAACTCATGGATGGAATACAAGATTGAAGGAATCAATCAGAGGCAATCAAGGATAGCAGACGTGATTAAAGAAATTGTTGATACTGACGGAATCAATCAAGGCTAAAATGAAGAAAACATCGTTTTCTGATTTGGTATGATATTTTGGAAGAAAACCTGAAAGCAATGCAATCAAATTTGGTAGAGCAAAAGAATGTTAATACAGCCAAGCCTCACACTAGCTACCATCAATTCTATATAATTACTCGGAGCAATGTAAGCATAACGTCACGCTCAGCTATAAGAGCGGTAATAGATTGCATATTGTTACCAAAATCCTGACAAAGCAAGAAAAAGATTGCTAAATTGAGATCAGAGCAATCTATCTAGTGCTTATGCTTTTAGTTGTTAAATTATTAAGAAGAATTTCCAAACACAATAAACATCCGGATGACATATATGTGCATGGTAAAAGATCACCAGTTAATTACCTGAGCTATCAATATTTTTGGAGAAAATTATCTCGAATTCCTGCATATACCAGATTCTTTTTTACAATGTTTCAATCAAATATAAGGATTTTAGCATCTTTTCTTGTTGTTATCTAACATTAAATTCATCTCGGTCTCAAGATGATTCCTCGGCTTCATGGACACTACACACTCCTCCACAAGACTTTTAACAGAGGAAAAGAATTATCAAACAAGCCAATAGAAGTAACCAAAAAGAAATAGCTGCTGAGATAAAAAGAGAAAGAATAACTTACATCTGTTAGAGCACCATTCATTTTAATCATTACAGGTATTCCCTGTCAATCTCTTTGGTGAGAATATGAGTAATCCCCCTTCTCGAATTCTAGATGTGGCTTGAGCAATTGGCAGCTGCTAATTTGTAGTTCCGAGATGGAAAAGGCTTCGCCTCACAGTGGAAATAGGTGCTCCACACTGCTCAACGCTATTTCTATAAGAAAACAAAAATAATTAACAACAAGCAAAGAGAAGTAACGAAAACAAAAAGTTAAAAAATTCCTATATAAGATGGTATTGAAACATACTACAAAAGTAAAAAAGACTAAGCTCTTTCCCGTGTACCTTTGAGTTGTACTACTAATCAGCATATCAGTAGAAGTAAAACGTATTTTCGCGCTCATAAAATACCAGATGACAAGTTTAATACCGATCCTAGGCTTAGGTGAATAGGAAAGAGAGAAATGTAAAACAAAGGAAGTTTACTTATTTCTTTAACACTTTGGAAGTAAATGTACAAACACTTACTGATTAGTTTGAGAGAGTTCTAGCAAAATGTTGGAAGAAAACCTGGAAATGGTAGAACATTTCAATGTTAATACAGCCGAGAACTACTACCATCAAATCTATATGCTGATTAATCCATGGTAAAAAAAATTACTTGGCGCAAATCAAGTTGCATTAATTTTACAATACACAGAGCTTACTTAGTGTCACCCTCAGCTATAATAAAACTACACAGACCTATTGTAACAAGGACATATAACCGAGGGAATAGAATGAATCGTCTCTTTTATGTGGTTAACACGGGGCCGAAAGGTTTGACGCACGTTCCTATCTTTGCCGGAAACACTTTGGACCAGCTCAATCCAGAACATAGTATCAGCACTGATAGTTAACAGCACATGGTCATTGTTTTATGGACAAAATATCAAAAGAGAAGTAGTACTGTTAAATGCAACACAAAAGAGAAGTACTTTTCTTCACTTACACTTACTGATTCATTAGAGAGACTCCTCGCAAAATGGTTATCACTCGTCAAACATTGCATTTGTTATCGGCTATGATATCTTGTAACATAAATCTGGAAGTGGTGCAATCAAGTGAAAATGTTTAAGAAGAAGAGTTTGTTACTTAGAACAAATAAATGTTGACTAATCCCCAGTAGAGAAAGAATTACTCGGAGCAAATCAAGTTTTATAAAATGTATAATGACCTAATTGATACAGAGAAAAGACTAATCCTTTTCACTGACTGATGAAAGAGAACTAATGCTGGCAAATTACACACAGAAAAGAAGTACGTTTCTTCCATTCACCAATTGAGCAAGGAGATGATCATACATAATAACCTTAATATGGTGCTGATGCTTTAAGGTTTTTAAATTATCAAGAAACAAACTCCTTTTTTTTTTTTTTTATTTGATAGATAGGAAACAAACATTCTGCCTCGTGTATCTTTGAGTTACGATAGAGCAAGGCAACTCGCACATAATATCCCAGTTTTCGAAACCGCGATGGTAGATGTCTAAATATGTGAGAGAGGGGAGTCTCTCTAGATGCCACTCCTTTCGGCTATTCACCAGTTCACCGCAATCCGTGATCCCGAGGATTTCTAAATTGAAGGGCAATCCTCCTTCAGGAAAGGACTCTATTTCTGGACAATTTTTCAGGTACAGATCTCTAAGAGATGGAAGGAGCTCCTGCATATGTTCTGGCAGCGACTTCAGCTTCTCGCTGTTGCTAATAAACAAGTTACACAAGGGCGTTGTCTGAGCCACCGAAAGTATTTCAAGATT